CAAAATACACATTTCAGTCTTTTTAACTGTGTTTCATATTTTGTCAACGTATATGTAAATGAACACATACAAACAAGAATGCCTCATTTGCAAATGTAACAATTTTCAGGAAACCTGTTCCTTTTTATGCTGCTGCAACGCAAACATTTCCCAATTTGGGATCAATAAAGTACATCTTATCATCCTAACTTATCTTTATCTTATCTTAAATGTGCCTTTATGAAAGTAATCAACTGAAAGATTAATGGTGGTAACAGTTGGTTGAAATTATAACTCTTTGGCCTCCCTAACTTGTAGTGTCTTCCCTTAAACTGTCACACACACCCAGTATTGCATGTCAGCACAGACACACCTACAGTGTGTGTGTGAAGGGTGACTCCCCCTGTGAGAGTGTGACTTTTTCTTCATCTCTGAACCAAAGTCTGACCTGTTTTCAGAGGACTCTCTGCCATCCCGTGTGTGACATAAAGTAAAGTAAGTACATTTACTTTGAGATTAATATGAAGTTTTCACCAAAGCTGCATTTACTTTGAAGAAAATAATTCCCAGTGGTAATATTATTAGATCATATTTTGAAATACTTCTCAGTAGATATGGCTTTAGTTCTTTATTTTTTGTGTCAAGTGAAGCATTGTGCAGGGTTGGTGTCATGTTGGATGTCCTCTATGCGCTGTAATTCGTTCCCATGTCACAGTATGTGTTGATCAGTGTTTAGCATTAGCATTGGGCATTCATTTTAAATGATGTCAGTTACTGAATACATACGACATTTTTCACATGAAATTAGTAGAGTTATCCCTTGGCTTACAAACAAATATATTTATGTTTGCAATTGAGAACTTACAATATTGCTCTAATAGCATGGTTTATTGGTTAAAAAATGTTTGCATTATTTAAAATTGCCATATTTTAGAGAAATCATCAAAAATATGTTGCAGTAATCATTGACAACGTTTTGTAACCTGATTACGTAATCCCAATTGCATGTCATTCGTTACTACCCATCCCTGGTGTTGACAACAATTGTTTGCATGCCTTTAAGCAGCTTGTGTTACTAGAATAAAACAATCAGCTAATATGTAAGAAGGAAAACAAATCGATGTTAACAAACACTAAATCAGCAGCAGTTTCTGTTTTTCTAAACTCTTTTTTTGTACATCCATCAGTTAGCAATCTCCACCCACCGTCATCATGCCTGAGACTGCAGAGGCCCACTCCTACACCCTCACCACCAACCGCAACTGCACCATCGAGCTCACCAATGTCAGCTCCTCCTACTGCCTCGTCCACCCCAAGTAAGAATCTCTGTTAGACAGCGTGAACAGTTTTTTCTAATCTGTGTGTTAATTAACCAATGAAGACAGTGATTATCAAATTCCTTCAATGTTCTTGAATCCATGCATGCATGACTACCAGTGGTATACAGTTAATACATCTTACATATACTGTGATTTAAAGCACTTGTACTTGTACACCATCACCTAGGTTGGGAATCATTGAGCGAAATTACCAGTACTGTTAATAACACATTTGACACTTTTGCACTTTTACTCAAAGAGGATTTTTTTATGCAGAGCATTAGCCCACTTATAAAGGAGTAATTTGACATTGTGGTATAAGCACAACCTGAGTAGAGGTTAGGGTTAGAGTAAGATTTGGGGTTGGCGTTCGGGGTAAGAAAACGTTTTGGTCCACTCATCACTGCATCTCTTTTACCCTGCAGGGTGCACTTGGAGAGTGGCTTCACCTTCAGCCCTCCCCAGCCCACCGTGCGTACCCAGAAGACCGAGCTGTGCTCCTTCGTCAAAGACGACCACACGGCAACGGGTGCCGTTGGCGTCCTGACCTACGAGCTGTTCGACATGAGCAACCGCCACTGCAACGAGGTGATCGCTATCATGTTCTCGGTGCCGTTCGACTACAACTTCTACAAGAACTGGCTCGGGGTGGGTATCTTCGAGCACACAAGAGAGTGCAACGAGAAACTGTTCAAACATATGTACAACGAAAAGGATTTCACCAACTTTCTGCGCCACGAGGCCGAAGGCTCAGGGGTGACCTACAAGGGGAGGATGGTAGATGTGAGGGCCTGCATGTCCGACGAAGGCAAGGCCATAATCAAACTGGAGCTGTACGACAAGATGGGCAAATGAATGTTTGTAATGAGTGCATTGGTGTGGAATAAAATGCAAGAACACAGTTGAAGCAGATGTTCCTGAAACCTACATACGCCATGTATGGGTGCTTTAAATGAATAAAAAACAATACAATGCAATTCTTGTCCTTGACCATTTTTCATCTTTATTTGAGCCATTAAAAATGATCACAAATGTTTGCAGGCAATGAAAAGATTGAAATCTCCTCAGCAGAAATAACATGAGTCATACTTCACTTTGATTTATAAAAGTATAAACACTGTGCAACATGCCATTTAGAGGTGCAGCATGTTCTTGTCCTCATGCAGACAGGAACAACTGCATCACTGCAGAGATAAAAGGTGCATAATGAGACGATGAGATAGTAAACAGTCTGCCTTATGCAGCAATGTTTTCTTAAGCAAGTCAACTCCAGATGAACTAAATGATCTTAACAATCTAAATCTGCTTTATCCGGTTGGGCCGAAGGATAAATCCTTCTTGATAAGAAATGTGAGTATTATCATACAATGCACCCTAAACACTATATAAGGGCTGGACATTTGTAGTGCAAAGTGAATATTCTCTGGCACATTGGAAAGATTTGGAAAAAGGTTGAGCTAACGGTAGATTTTTCAGAGCATCAGTACTGGTGTTGCAGGAAAATCAAAGAGCATGTAAGAGCAGTATGTAAGTTATACAGAAGCTGAAAGCACAACGTATTATCCTCCAATGGTTTTTATAGTCTTAACTGGACCATTGGACCAAGAGTATTCCTTTAGCCAACAAGTGCAATAAAAGATCAAATATTCTAAATGTGATTATTATGTGCATGCAGATTCTTCTTTTTTTCCTCAACAAAATACATAAAATGTCCATTGGGTTGGACAATCATTTTGTGGACGGTAAAATGTTTTTTTATTATCTTGGTAAAAGTGCTCTCCACCAAATATACCGATAATAAGAAAACATTGGGGAATCCAAGAAATCAAAGCGTATTAACAAAATAAGAACCAAATGGTTGATGGGTACCAAAATAAGAGGACTTTGCTTCCTGCATGGTTACTAAGGACAATAAATCACGGATATGAAAGAAACAGGTTTGTTCGCTTCTTGCATGAAGCTCAAACTTGATCGTAGCTAGGCAAAAATACACATTATGAAAACAAAAAAAGACCATCCTTATATGTTGCAACTGTTGGCTACACCCTGTCTTTGAGCCTCTGTCTACATACCTCAGGTGAGAGGCGAGGACAAAAAGCCAGTAACAAAGTAGGTGCGTACTGTGGGTGGAAACCCATTTGGGTTCGGTTACTGTGTCACAAATTCCCAAACAAGAGTGATCTAAAGAGAGAATCCTGTGTTTCAAATCTGGCACTGCCCGAGCGAGCAACACACCTAGGATCCGGACAGGTAAGCCTGTTTAATACTGGGCTGTATTTGGAGGTTTGATGGAAAATATAGTTTTTATGTAGCATTTAGCACTGTGCATAATTTGTTATGGCACTGTTCACAGCTAATTGTATTCACTGCATTGTAATACAATGTAATTCTGCTTTCCTGCAGCCTTTACAAGTAACAACATGTGTGAATCAGCAGAGGCATTGGCTGCTAACCTCACGAGCAGCAGAAATGTCACCATTGAGATCACCAACCTCACCAACAGCTTTTGCCTGGTAGACCCAAAGTAAGTGCAAACCTAAAAGACAATATTGTTTAGAGTATTCTTAACAAAATAATGCATCTTAATGCAAATATGTGTGTAGCCTGATAAAAACAAACTAGAGATGAATTATCCGGTTTTTGCTCTTAATTATTATTTTTTTCTTCTTTTGCCTTTAAAAAAAAGGGTGTACCTGGATAGTGGGAACTGCCATAGCCCACCCCAGCCCACCGTGCGCCCTCTGAAAACCGAGGTGTGCAACTTCAGCAAGACCAGTTCCAAAGCCACCGGTGCTGTGGGCGTCATGACCTACGACCTGTTTGCAAGAAATAGCAACACCCCTACGGAGAAATTAGCCATAATGTTCTCTGTGCCCTACGATAATAGCTCCTACAAGAACTGGTTCGCCTTGGCAATCTACCCCATGTCCAAAGTGTGCGATGAGAAGCTGTACAAAGAGATGTATTACGACAAAGAACCCAAGGGCTTTGTGAGGCAGGAGTCCAATGGCTCTGATCTCACGTTCCAGGGCGCAACACTGGACATGAAGGCTACCATGTCCCCGATGGGCAGGTCCATATTGAAGGTGGAGGTGTGGGACAAGCTCTTCACTCCAACAATGAACCAGCAGCATCACTAAGCCAGTAATTCATTTATATCAAAACACAGTTTAATGGGCAGTGTGTTTGATTAAATATGCTTAGCCCTAACACCTTTGCTACTGTATAATCTATTCATGCAATAAATACAGTCTGATATACAAATAAATGTGTGTCTAAGTGATCATTACAAAAGGTCTTGGCAAAGCTTCAGAACACTCGGGACCAACTGGTGGAACAAGTTAATGTTTATCTAAATGTGGTATCTCTATGGCACAAATGTAACTTATTTATATCAATCAGCAGCCAATGTGACATACAAAGTTGAAGTGTAGTTTTTTTTTTTTAATATGAAACGAAATATCTTTGACATTATTAGGTAAATAATAAGATAAAAGACGGAGATGATTAGGTTTTGTATGTAATTTCAACAAACCCTACAGTGTGTGAACAGCCTGCAAAAGCTGCGTATGATCGACATGGTTTGCACGAAGTCACCATCTAGTGGTTACAAGGATTCAGAGCATGCTCACCTTCAAACCTTTCTCAGAATCAATGCACACGTGTACTCAGATAAAGGGAATAACATCATATAAAAAGTAGCAATGTTTATAAATTCAGGTTTATTAAATTGAGATGAATTATCTGAGGTCAAGTTATAGCTTTTACACAAACAGCAACTCACTTTATTGCCAAGAGCTAGATGAGAAAATGTATACCACTCTCATATCTGTGGAGTAAATATCAAGTTACAGCAACCTTAGCTTAGCATAAAGACTAGAAACAGAGGGAAATTGCTAGCATGGCTCTGCTCAGTCATAACAAAAAATGCACTTCTAATATGAATGTGTGGTATGTTTTTGATTTGGACTGGATGAAAACCTAAGTGTAAAAATATCATGTAAAGATGTTTGTTTTGTTTTTTTATTGAGGGAACTGGGCTAGCTGTCTCCCGCTTTTTTGAACGCTAAAACAACGGTCTCGCAAGCTCAATTTATTAAACATACACAAATGAGAGAGGTAGGTTATCAATCACTTTACTATTAGCTAAACATAAAGGTGAATATTATTGTTTCCGAGAAAGAATCACCATTTTTCTTGATCAAAGACACGTTAATGTAAGGTCATCGTGCAACAATGCATCAGCAATTTTCTTAGTTTATTAGGAACAATATTTTAAATACATGATTTTTTTTCTATTGTAAGATATAACAGTGTATTTGTGTCTGCAAAATCAGTTGGATTGAGAGCACTGCTCGTAAAAAACACTGACAACAGTTTTGAATCTGTCCTTCAGATACATTTCGAGTGTTTCCAGTGGCATTTTTCTCACATCATACCCTCTGAACTGTTTCTTAGTCTGCTGGCTTACTGGCACAATCTCCTCTGTGCTGTTGCAGTCGTTGCGACCAATGGCAGCATACGTGGGGAAAGCATCCTTCAGTACTTTTGGTAGACTGTTGTTGTAGTTTGGGCAGCAGTAGGCGGACCAAATATACTCAGGCACGGCTACACGATGATTCCTGAGCCAGGGCTCGTCGCTCTGGTAAGGGATGATGCCAGTCACTATGTAGGTGTCTCCGAGACAGTAGGTGCCTAAGGTTTTGTTGACATTCTGCTCCAGGGCTTCCCATGGTCCATCATTAGAGCCTGCCATTTGAGGAACAACATTAGTCAGGGTGAAGGTAGAGGCGCGGTCCTTATAGCTCTTGTGGTGGAGGCTGGGGTTCAAGTGTCCACGAGAATAGGTGGAGTTAATGTAGTCCAACTCCACTCCCTGGCTTTCCACCACGTTCTGATCCAGATGACCCAGAGGGAAGGAGAGCATGTTGCCATCAGCTCCTGGGTAGGCTAACTGTTCATGGGGGTCAGAAGAGAAAAGTGAGGAACATTGCACGTAGACCATATGATAAACTGTCATTTATTTATAGGAAGACTGAGTGAAGCTGCTTTTAGAACAGTGGACATCACTAAAGCAACAACAAGACTTAGCTAGCTAGAAACGTAGCCTAGCTTGAATTGTCGCTTAAACAAACAAATGCATTTCACCAGCAAAACAGTACTTTTTCTATGGTAAATGTGCTTATTTTCTGCGCCGCTCAATGCATTTAAGATTAAAACAATTATAATCTTGCTTTGTTCTTATAAACATATCAGTGTCTCACCTCCCAACAATTTCAAACTTGACCCAAAAAAGCCAAGCAAATCAGTGGCAAGAGGCAAGCTTTTCTAATATACTACTTGCAAAAGTGTCAGTCATGCTAACAGCTTCCTGTACTCAGCACTAGTTTATTTTTACCATGGGGAGTTAATAGACCGACAGTGCAAACATGAACCAGTTCCCTTTTACTCGGGCTCATTTCCTCGTTCGTTTTGTAATTTACTTAAAAATAATGTTTTTATTGTGTGTGAAGTATGATTAACTGGAACGCAACAGGACACCAAACAAGTCAAATGTGTTTGTTCGTTTTTAGTCTTCTATTTTTCTTGAGTAGCCTACCTACTTTTTTTTTCGATAATAATGTCATGTTTCAGTGCAATACTGTATCATAGAACTAAAGACAGAAGTTGTGACATTTTGAAAAATGAATAATACTGATAAACCAGTAGGCCTACAATTATATAAAGTCTGACTGTTTAACACTTTACTGCAAATATTAAGTATTTTTATATATATATATAGGCCTATATATATATATAATATATACAATAATATACAATATACATACAATATATAACAAAAACAAATAGGTAATATATATATATATATATGCATATATATATATTACCTATTTGTTTTTGTTATATATTGTAGTACAATGTGCACATTTAAACTTCTCAATATTTTTTATAAACATCTCTCTTATTTTATTTTTAGTCTAATTCCCATCCAGCGATAGTAAAAGTAGTTGAATTAATAATAATATTTGTTGAGTCTTAATAGAAAGACAAATAGCCCAACTTTAAAATAAATATTTTATAGAATCATAATAACTTTTTTATGATATCATGATTGGCACAATTTTAGACTTACCTGTGGCTCATACTTCCAGAATGTGTGGGGTCTCTTTCCTTCTGGTGTGGCATACAAATAGGCCGAGAACCATGGAGTGCGGCGTGGCCGACTGTACAGCGTGGCAAAGCGGTACTGGTTTTGATACCGTTGGCAGATCGGGGTCCCCACCAGACCTTTAGGAGGCCAGGACCTATAGAAGCTCTCAAGGCATGGAGCAAAGTCTCCAACATCGGCTGCACACATGCTCCAGAATCCAGTGAAGGCCAGAATGAACACAGCCAGAGCGAAGTGATGTGCCATTTTAATAAAGACCAGTTGGTAGTGAAATCCAGCAGTCAAATGTCCAGATATGATTCATGCCTTCATACAGTGTCTGTGTGATAAAGTGAGGCTTGAACTTACTGATAGCTGTTCTCCTTTTCAATAAGACATGACCTTTTGGTGAAAGCAGAAGCAGTTTCAACATTAGTTTCAGTCATCCATTGTTTGCAAGGACAAATCAACCTCAAACACTCCAGCAGTAATCAAATGCAGCCTCACTTACTTTAAACTACAATAAATTATTACACATTCCCTGTTAAAAACATATTAAATACTTACTACTTTGCAGGAAAGTAACATTATTGCATACTTAATCTGACGCTGAAAATTGTCCCCAACCATTGCACTGTTTCCTCCTGATTGAATCAACAGTAGCGAGTTACCATACAGAAGAGGGAAGTCACAAAGTAAAGATAAACACATGGTTGGTTTCACTCTCTTTTAAATACAGGAATAAGACAGCCTTGATACTTTATTTTAGCAGAAATGTAACCAACATACAGGTCCTGATTTTTTTTTGTATTCCTTGACATACCAAATTTGGAACACTTTTTTTAAAGATGGTTTCACTAGCAGGAACCACGCCACAACAATGTGATGTTTGTACGTTTATTGAAGTAACATGTGAATGATATGAGGGGGGTGAAGGGATGATCTGGGAGGACGAGCTATGGTCCGTGCAGTGGGAAACTCAGAGTGGGGGTTCCGTCTCCGGCATGATCTGCGTGGGCTGATTACGGGCCCCCCAGACGATACCTGGAATTAAGGTTAGTATACACAGTATATAAACATGCACCGTTTAAATAGAAATGGTGACGGGCAGAGGATGTTGGGATGAAGGGATGGAGGGATGAGGGATGTAGGGATGAGGGATGAAGGGATGTAGGGAGGGGTGAAGGGATGAGGGATGGAGGGATGTAGGGATGAGGGATGTTGAGGGGAGGGAGGGAAGAAGGAATGGATGGATGTATTGCTCGGTGTGAGTCGGAAGGGAAACTGTATGGGTAGAAAGGGAGAGGGAGGGTGGGTTGAAAGGATCGAGACGAGCAGTGGCCGGAAGTTTTGCCGGATATAAATAGGGGTGGCCGTGGTTCGAGGTGGAGTTTTAGGCGTGGCCATGCTCCTGAACCTATGTTAACATGTTAACCTCATTGAAAAAGATGATTATTAACTGAACAGGAGTGAATCCAACTGCTCTGTATTAGTGCTGGGGGGAAACGATTATCTTGAAAACGATTAATCGGGCGATTATTTGATCGATTAGTCGACTAATCTAACGATTATTTTTCTGTTGTTCAATTCATAAAAAACGTAATGTAAAAAAAACGTAATGTAAAAAAAAATGTTTTTACGATACTGTGTCTCAGGGGATCTTAATATTTAAGAACCTATTAATGTGTTATACCAGATTAACGGAAATAATCTCAGCTAACTGACGATACAAACCATTTTATACCAAAACAAAACACAAGTCTCATAAGAAGCATCTAAATAACCCCTGAGCGAAAAATGCTAACGGACATTGGCACAGAACTCAAGATAAAAGTACCCTTATTACTTATCGTAGCTGCACATACAATATATCGGATTAAAGCTGAGACTCCACAAATTATGTAGGTACATAGTATCATCACTGAGTGATCCGGACTCGCGACAGGGGAAGCAAATACAGTCATCACAACACGTACCTTCACAGAGCTTCTCGGGAGATCGTCTCACCACCGTAATCTGATCAAAAGACGTGTTCAATGGCAATAAAATGAGAAAAAACGCGGCTGAATCGGTTAATCCATAGGTTTTTAACGTCTATGTATAAAAAAATGATTGAATTTATAATCCATAATTCCATTTTATGTAAAAATGTAAATGCAAAAAAAGCTAATGGTAGCCACCACAGCTAGCTGCTGCTTCTGCTAGGCTATGCAGCAGTCTCAGTGAGATATAAATATATAAATATCTTTGCGTTTTGGACTAACTTTAAAATATTCCCATGCTTTTGAAGACCTAGGGCGAGATGTTTTCGTTTGGGGGCTTCGTGCGCAATCCTGTGAGGAGGAGGTGGTAGCCGTTTCAGTCTCCATTGTGTTTGAAGTGCGATTGCGAACTGCTTGTTGCTTTGGGTGACCCACGTGTGTGTAGCGACGCGTCGACGCGGAAATATGTCGTCGACGATATTTTGAAGTCGACGCGTCGACGTCGTCGACGCGTCGCTACAGCACTACTCTGTATACCCAGGCACTCTCATACTCTTTCACAATGTGTAGGCCTACTGATTGGTGTAATATTTGTGGGACTTTTGTTGTTACTTTATGTTTCATTTTGAGTTTCTTCCTGGTTGGTATGTGTATCTTTTAGGAACTTTTGTTTTTTTCATTTCATTTCAAACCTTTATTTAACGAGATTGGTCCCATTGAGATCATAGATCTCTTTTTCAAGGGAGACCTGCATCATATAGGTTCCACATGAAACATAAAACAATAAAGGACATCATACATTATATTTACAGGATACATTTACATAGTTATAGACATTTACAAGTGGCCATAGTATCAACAAGCATTTCATTTAGCCTAGCTTTAAAAACATGCAGAGGAATGAGATTGCTCAGTTTCAATTCTTGCTGAAGACTGTTCCAAGCAAGTGGAGCTGCGCACATAAAAGCTGTCTTACCTAAGACAGTTCATGCTCTTGGTACATCTAACAATACTACATCATGGGATCTCAGACAGTAGCTGCTTGCAACTCTCTGTGTTATCAGAGAGCAGATATAATACGGGAGTTTGCCCAACAAAGCTTTATAAATAAACGTGTACCAATGACTGAGCCTCTTACAGTAAGTGATGGCAAACCTGCCTTGGCATATAGGGTACAGTGATGAGGAAGTGCTTTACAATTTGTGACAAATCTCAGTGCGCTGTGATAGGCGGCATCTAACTTGTTCAGGCAATAGGCAGGTGCATTCATATACAACAAATCACCATAATCCAGCACAGGTAAAAAGGTCACAGAGACTAGCCTTTTCCTGGCCTCAAGCAAGAAACAGGACTTGTTTCTGAAAAAGAAACCTAGCCTAACCCTCAGCTTTTTAAGCAGGTTATTGACATGAAGTTTAAAAGCAAGACAATCATCAAGCCAGATACCCAGGTATTTATAACTGGTAACCACTTCAAGTACTTGTCCTTGCATAGTAACAATATCCAAAACAGGCTCTGGTGTCTTTTTAGCTTTTGAAAATAGCATTACCTTAGTTTTATCAACATTTAAAAGAAGCTTAAGTTCAGCAAGCTGAGTCTGAATAATGTTAAAAACAGCCTGTAATTTCACACCAGCCTCCTTAATGGAGGGACCTGCACAGTACATCACGGTATCGTCCGCATATGTAAAGTAGCTTCATTCACATTTTCACCTAAACTGTTGATATATATGGAGAATAAAAGTGGACCTAAAACAGAACCTATCTTTGTAGATAAAGGCCAGGGTTATTTAGGGTTATCCATGATAAAACTTGATATGGTGCTAATGTGTTTACAGCTCATGTGCTGCTCCCACAGGAAAACACAAAAAAAACCTACATTTATTTAATTAAGTCAACATAATAAATATAAAGCACTCAAGGATGTTGGGTCCATTTAAAATGAGCTCATTGTGTAGGTCACAGCAGGTCACCAAAAGACTGTTTTGATAAAGTATTGTCTTACTTTCCCTTGAGTCTGTATGCAGGCCAGAGAAAGAGGGTGGGCTTTGTAGGAAAACTTTGCCTTTCCTCCCCTCCAAAATACTCACATCCTGAAGTCCATGTGTTGCTCCCCCCTCCCCCAACACCCTCTTCTCTTTATGTAACACATTAATCGGGTTTGGAGTTTGGATTCTTTTCCATCCAGACGCTGGCCTTTGCTTATCCGGAGGAAAACATTTCTACACTATTTCAGGGATTAAAGGTAAGTTTTAACACTTTTTCTCTATCTACAAAACATTTAAAGAATGCCTTGACTGAAAAGAAGATACTTACTTCACACTGCTGAGAATAACTTGTGCAGGATTGGGGTTGATCTGCAGGAGAAAGTGCACAATGTTAGGTTGCCCTTTTAACTTTCTCAACAATAGACATGCAGAAAGAAAACTAGACACATTAGGGCATGTTTTCTTCTGAATGTTATGAATAGAGAGTGTTTCTGCCTTGTAGTAAGTCCCAGCTGAGTGCAGAGGATGAGATTAGAGACCATAGTAGCAGCAGGCTTTAGTTAGCCTTAGTTCATTCCTCTGGACTTTGAACATTTCAGGGTGTTCTTTTAGTACAGGCTGTGGCTATACAAACAGTCATTTATTTCTGGTTTCACCTTAAAATACTAGGCACGTGTATACAATTTGCCTTTTTATATGTGAGACTGGCAATAGGCAAATGTAGAAAATCCACAATTGTATAGATTTGAACTTGTTAATCAATAGTTGCTTGACTGTATTGTAACGCCAATGTTTACTAGAATATAAAACCCTCTGCAGAACATAGTTGACTCAGTGCAGTAGAGGGATGTCAGTGTTTGTTGTGATTTCCACCTGATTGAATTAGTGGGACATGCTTCAATAGAGATGATAAACACATCAAGTGTGACACCTTATATGTCCTTTAAGTATGGAACAATGTCAACCTTTATCAGTTGCTGGGGGAAAAGTAGCAAATGATAAACAACATACTAGAACACATTTTGGGCATTCATTACATTACATTGCATTTAGCCAGTGGCGAACCGTGTCTATCACAACTGGACCTTCTGTAGACACACCCCCCACCGCCGCCGCCGCCCCCCCCCAGACCCAGAACAAGATCTGATTGGTTGCTTTCTTTTCTAACACAAAACCACTGATATGCGTAGTGCATGGTCCGAGAAGGACAAACAAATCAACGTAACACTGTAATATTACAGATCAACAACACAGATACGATTCTCATTTATTCATTTTATATACATTTTATTACATTTTATTTATATAATTAAATCGATTTTTTGTTTGTTTTATCTGAGTGTTCCAGGGTATTCTCTGAATACCTTGAAGGCCCTGACGGTTCGCCACTGCATTTAGCTGACGCTTTTATCCAAAGCGACTTACAATAAGTACATTCGACCAGGAAGACACAACCTTGAAGAAAACAGAATCATATAAGTACATCAGGTTTCATAGAGCCAAACATTTCAAGTGCTACTCAACTAGCTTTAGATAAGCCAGTCCTTTATTAGTATATAAGTGCTCTGTTAGCAGTTCTTTGTTAGTAATTCTATCGCTCAAAGTGGAGTCGAAAGAGATGAGTTTTCAGTCTGCGCCGGAAGATGTGTAGGCTATCTGCTGTCCTGATTTCAATGGGGAGCTCATTCCACCATTTTGGAGCCAGGATAGCAAACCCACGTGTTTTTGCTGATGGGAACTTGGGTCCCCCTCGCAGCGAGGGTGCAGTGAGTCGTTTGATTGATGCAGAGCGGA